AATGTGCTGGCCGAAAATTTGTTCGCCAAAGCAGACTCGAGAATAAATCGCTCGACTCACACTCACGACTCGTCTCGTCTCGTCAGACTCGACCCGTTGACCTTGACGTCCAGCAACAAGCTTCAAGTCATCGTCCATTGGTAGCACCTTTCCGTCCTGTGCGACAACTCACTTTACGATGCTCAGCGTGCTGAGCGATCCTCACCATCAGTGAACGTCGTCACTGGACTGTACAATCAGCGACACTCTGCAGCGCCAACTTCCCTCAGTGATCGCTTCAACGTCGCCTATTCTGTTCACCGCTCACCAGACCGATCGATCCAGCGTGCGCTTCACCTTTGGCAATGCCTTTGTTGACCCTCAGCTCTCGCCAAGTCATGTCAGACATGTCGGAGTCTGAATCTGCCTGCGCTGCGCTGCGGACGACCCGTTGCGCCTGCAGACTGCGGCTTGCGACATCGCCACTCTCGCACACTCGCTCGCGGTGCCCTACTCACCACTCGAGCTTGAACTTGTCGATGCCACGACCTGTCAACGTCGACAAGGTACGAGACGTACCTTCATTAAATCGACAAAATTGAAGAGGGGACGTTGCGGAAATATCTTCTTGGCGTGTCTTCAGCATGATCCAGCGAGCGCGAAGGTGGTCCTTGGTACGCGCAGCATTCCAAGCTCAACGGTTTCGACAACTCGACTGCAGGTTGCTCTCCGACAGCGTCAACGGTCTCGCGGCCTCAATGCCTACCAGTCTGCCACTGAGATTCAAGCGTGGACATCACGCATTCGGAGCCTTGTGAATCTGTGAGTCAAATAGGTCACCCACTGATTTCCCCCTCTCCCCTTCGCTCCTCCATGGTTAGAAGCTTTTTGTGTCCCCCCAACAAACTTCCAACCTTCGCGATCACGCACAGCTTTCCAAGCCCCTCGTTATCGCACCCACCTCCTCTCACCTTTCAAACCCCTTCGCAAGATGCTTTCGTTCGTCTCCAGCACGGAGCACGGCGTCTCGGTTGCCGAGCGTGGTGCACAAGCTGAAAAGGTAATTGCCGTGCACCTTCAGAAGTAGTCTCGGTCCTTCGCAGTCATCATTTGCTCACATGTCCCATCTGCCTCCCCGAAGGAGCACTGCCTGGATACCAGCACTGGTATCGAAGTTGAGGTGAGTGACTCACGATCCATCTGCTCACTTTGCTGGCGGCGCGGATCCTGACATAAACGCGGACCTCGCTTGTATTCTGCTCAGAACGGTAGCCCTGATACCGAAGACTCTGATTCCTCCATCAATGAGGAATCGGTGTCATTTGTCAAGAAGGCCGGCGACGCCAATGTCGCTTCCACTCCGTGGAAACGCAAAGTTCGCCAGCTCTCTCGTGGCGCACTCGAGGTGAGCAATAGCGTGTCTGTTCTCCTCGCGATGCATTGTTCTCACTGGCGTTCTGTCTGTCCATGTTTTGCCCCTCGCTCCTTCCCGTCATACACCTCCTGCCACCTCTCCACTCGCTTTGGCAATTCTCGCTCGCTCCATTCCACACCATGCGTTCTGTCCCTCTCCCCTGACATACTTGACTAATCTCCGCTGCCGTATCGCTCACCACTAACCCCTTCTTCACTGTCGATCAAGCAGGCTTCCATGTCGACGGCAACCCCCGGAGAGGTCAGCGAAACGTCCACGCGCACCACTCGGGACGTTTTGGTTGCCTTGAAGGTGGTTCAGGAAGAGGCCGCCGAGCACCTGGCCATCATGATGCAAGGAATTCAAACCTTGTCACATGAGAACCAGGAGCGTTGGTCCACTCTCAAGCCGCGTGTTCTGGCCGTGGAGAAGACCGTTCAAGCCCAGACCAGGGAAAACAACGAGCTCGAGACCAAATTCAAAGACCTGGCTACGAAGATGCGAGTCGTCAGCGCCAAGGTCGGCGAGATCGCGAGCTTCCACGAGAAGGAAGCCCGTGTCCTCGAGGAGC